TGAAAATTCTTAAATGGCTCGAAATAAAAAACGATGCTAAGAAACGTGGCCACGAGATAGCTTTGGGACAACTTTTAGAAGATCAACTTCCAAAACAATCACACTCCATTGCCTACTCAAAACCATCAAAATCTCCAATACATTCCGAATGTCACGAACGTCTATAGCTTGGTTTAGAAGCAGGAACTTCCTCTCTGGAGAATAGGTTTCACTTATGAACGTCCAAAGAAAGATGTGAACATGAATTACATTTTATTATTAGATTCGTGTATCTGAGAAATATGTATGTTGCTATTATAACACGGATGCCCCATATATGAAAGTATTTACACTTTTTTTAAAAATTTTAGATCATTTGAAAGATTCATTATAAAGATACTTAGCGACTCAAACTATATGGAACTTCCAAGTAGAACTGAATAAAGTTGTTTATGTTTTGTATAAAGTACATTACGAAGAGTTTGTTTAAGTTTAAAAAAATTATACAGATCCAATATTTTTTTAAACTTTCGCATTGAGAACACATTTAAATTGTTAACACTCCCATAAGAGAAAGTTAATTAATATTTTTCTTTTTCAAAAAGTCAAATTGAGACAGTAACATTACCGAATTATTACATTTACCTTGGTCAAGCTAACCAATAAGCTCAAAAGGAAAATTCTTAAATAGCTTAAAATAGTAAAAAACTATGCTAAAAAATGAAGCCATGCGATAGCTAAATGTTAATTTTTAGAAAATCAACTTCCAAAACAATCAAACTTCGTTGCCTTTTCAGAATCATCGAAGCATCCAAAACATTCAAAATGTCGTCAATGTCTATAACTCAGTTCCAGGCGAGGAACTTCATTTCTGGAATATCAATTCCACTTAAGAACGTCCAAACAAAAGTTTTGAGTGGGAACTACGTTTTATTATTTACTAGATCCGTGTATCTGAGAAATATGAAGATTATTGTTTTAAAACAATAATCTAACATCCAAAACATTCAATGCCTATAACTCAGTTCCAGACGAGGAACTTCATTTCTGGAATATCAATTCCACTTAAGAACGTCCAAACAAAAGTTTTGAGTGGGAATTACGTTTTATTATTTACTAGATCCGTGTATCTGAAAAATATGAAGATTGTTGTTTCAAAACAATAATCTAGCATCCAAAACATTCAAAATGTCGTCAATGTCTATAACTCAGTTCCAGACGAGGAACTTCATTTCTGGAATATCAATTCCAATTAAGAACGTCCAAACAAAAGTTTTGAGTGGGAATTACGTTTAATTATTTACTAGATCCGCGTATTTGAGAAATATGAAGATTACTGTTTTAAAACGAACTCCCAATTTGTAGCAGTATATATTTTTTTAAATAATTTCAATACCTTTGAAAAAACAATTTATTTATTTATTTGAAAGATTATTCAACTATGTAAGATACATGAAACCTTCAAGTAAAATTGACTAATGACTTTAAAGTTTTTTGAGAACTGAGTAATAATAATAACATTGATAATAACACACTCAGGGTTATAATCTTCAAATATAATCTAATGTGTTATAATCCAATACTATTCTACAAAATATTTTTTATAAAAAAAAATTAATTTAAATTGAATTTTTTTCTAACAAGAATTTTAAATATTGATGTGGTAGTTAAAATAAGAAACTATCATTATATCACACAAGAGGCATTTCTTTGGGTTTAAGTGACTGGAAATATTAAAAAACTTCATACTTCATTTTAATACATTTTATGTAACTTGCGTCTCTCACGCATTAAACATTTCGACAACTTTTCCAAGCAGTTAGAATACTCTGACTTCAACTCTAGCTCGTTGCTGGCTGATAATACAAGTTTTGACCTTTAAATGGCCGCTATAAGCAGAATTTATTGTCATTTTATTGCCAAGTAGAATTTATCACCAATGAAAATTACAACCGCTTTCAGACATTAACAATCTAATGGGTACAAAATTAAAATAATTTCTAACTTACGACGCTTTGTTAGCACTTTTTCTTTTCAACTAAAGGTAATAAAATTTATATTTTAATACATGATTCTTTGCCTGGTAAATTTGATTTTAAGCATTTCTGTCCATTACTGCCGATAAGCAATTCAAAAAACATTCTTACAAAGCGCCGCTTACACAGTCCTTAAACTTTTAAAGTTATGACAAAATTAGCCAGATTTGTCCTGATTTTGTTAAAAATCCTCCATTACTTTATAAATTTTTTTGCAGAAAACGAAGCAGTTGATAACTGTTTTCGATATGCGAAAAAATTTATTTGCCTTTCTTAGACCACTACAAAAACACATCCTTTAAAAGCTTTCTTCGTTATATTATTCATTCATACATTTCAAGTATGGAAAACTAAAAATTTATATTTTTTAAAAATATCTCGGTAAATATCACAAGTCTAGTACGATGCTTCACCACTTTCCAGAAAATAAACACCCAAATTATCTCACACTTAATCCTTTCAACATATTTGCTTTCGTGGACACATTTGTATAGTCTCTCTATAGGAAGAACTCCCCTCACCATTCATGTGGAGAAGTGGCTGGGACTGTAGTTACGAGTTTTAACTATTTCAACTAGATGTGTTGGGTCAATATTTATGACATTTTTTGGCTTTGGTTTGTGATAGAAAAGAAAGCAGAGGAGTGAGAAGTTCCCCTACTTGAATTGCGCTATTTCTTATTTCCATAACATGCACACTGTCTTGAACTTTGCAACTAGGAAGTTCTTTCAATAGACAAACTATACAAAGTTTTGCCTGATAAGCACAGTGTTTCCATTGAATTGTGTGCACACAAAAAAAAACAATTTTCAATGAAGAAAAATAAACAAATAGTTCCCCAAACTGATTACAAGATTGAGAGTAAAAGAATTAATAATACAATCAAAACAACATTTCCTATAAAATGTTATCTTTCATAGTTTATTTCCTTTGAATTTAATAAACAAAAAATGCTTTCAATCAGAATAGTTCGACAATTTCTTAAAATAATTACGTCTCTCAGAAAAACAAATGCGCATCTTTAAAAAAAATAAAGCACTTTTTTTTCAGTTCAATTCCGAATTATGTCATCACAATGCCTTTATAAACTCAAGAAAATTACGAAATAGCTTTTAATCTTTCATGAAATACTGAAATATGTCGAAAAATTAATTAAAAATGAATGTTTTTTAAACAGCTACTTCAAAAGGTAATTTTAAAAATCTATTTAAATTAACTCGTTTTTTATCCTTGCGTAACTAAAAAGTGTAAACGTCGCTAATGAAAATATCTCCTCATTATAAAAACAGGATTATAATCTTAAAGTCACTTAACTCTTATTTCAAAATCTTGCATTCATCCATTTTTAATCATTTTTCACAAGTGCACTCTACATAACAAAGAATGCAATTTTAATAGATGATTAAGAAAAGTTCTCATTAATTTGAATCTTGTATAATTGCTTAGTTAGCCATAAATCCAAATTAAAAACAATAATCAACAGCAAAATCAAATTATCATATCCACTATAAGGTTCATTCTCAAATTACTAGTATTATTGTAATTAATAAAATGGAGTAACTGTAAATTACACAATCGAGTGAATTGTAGTTTTGAAGAAGTATTCTACACGTTCATGTACGTACAGTGCACACAAAAAATAAACGGATCATCTTGTTGTTGTTGTTGTTAATTTACGTCGCACTAGAGCTGCACAATGGGCTATTGGCGACGGTCTGGGAAGCATCCCGGAGGATGATCCGAAGACATGCCATCACAATTTTGATTCTCTGCAGAGGGGGGATCATCTTGAATAACTTTTGATCTAATGATTGGATCTTCACATTCTAGGACACAATCATAACAGTTCGAGGGGGTAACCTGAAATTTGCCAATTAGTTAGTGCTGATATTTTAAGTTACGAAATCTGACACAAAAACGTACTATCTGTAAATAAACGTATCTTTTTTCATGATGAATTCGGATTTCTGACCCCAAAATGTGGAGGGTAACAGCAATCTGGGAAATATGGTTCCCATAGTTTAGTATACCTCGCAAAATGAAAAAGCAAATCAAGCGTTTTTTTCCCCTCAGTTCTCACCTCAGTCCAGTTCATCCACCTAAGGAGTTTCACTTCAGTCCTTTTTTTTTAACTTTTTTTTCCAATCTCCTTAACCAACCACTGTTAACCAGTTGACTTTGCTACGTAACCAAATTACCGATACATAAATATAAACCTCAATTTTCTTCAACATTAAACAACTTTTCACTGCATAGGGACGGGAATTTTCATCCTCAGACAGGAACAAGCAAAACTGGTTTAGGAATACAACCAGTTCAACACCTAGCTATAAATCATCACTCTTTTTTTTTTCCAATTTAAAGAACCATTCTCACTCCCTGCGATATTTTTCACCTCTAAGCTGACGTCACTGGACTTTACCTGTCCACTGGTACTACATTAATTATCAATCAATGACAGATAGCAACCAATAGGAATACATTTATATTGGAATGGGAATATGAATCGTCCAATAGGAATGGTACAAACAACGATTGATTTATTCCGCTCAGTTATATAGTTCAGCCTCTGGCTTGAATACCTTAGTGGAAAATATTTACCCACTAAAACTCACCAATAAGGTTCTCGTTCGCATGCGAAGAAAATCTCATCTAGTGAGAATGGTCCTTATCACTAATGGCGTTTTTTTAAATAATAAACTCAAGACAACATGGAACAAATTATAAGTAATATGCTACATTGTGTTTATTTACAACGTAAAATAGAATTATGAATATAAATCTAATTTTTTATCTTAGTTTGGTTAAATACACACCAACAAAACATATTTTCCGTTTACATTTCTAAACACCAACTTAATTTTATGTTATTAAACTCCTCCAGTTAACTTTCCGTTAAAAATATTCTAATTTAAGTTAACAATTAACGGTGATAATGAATAAAGATATTTCATTTAAATAAATATGCTTTATTTTTCTTTTCAGTATGATCCACGAACGAAGTTTCCAGACCCAAGAATACCGATGAGGCCTGCTATAGTCGAAAACTTGCACAAAAACCCTTCAGAGATGGAAGCAGGAGCGCCCAAGCTACCAGAGGGTTTATTTGGCATTCTCCCCAGCGACATTGACAAATATTCCCGTCTGGTGTTTCCAGTGATTTTCATCTCGTTTAACCTAACCTATTGGATTATCTATTTACACATCAGCGATACTTTAGGAGAGGATAACCTTGCGCTGTCTTAACTTGTCAAAAATAATTATGCATGAATTTGCAAAAAGTACATCGATAATATTTAGACCTAGTCGTTACCATCCCGATTAACAAACAGAAATGCTCACACAGTAAAAAATTCAATTAAGATTTAGGCAATTATTGATGTAAGTTGATACGAAATTCTATCACAATACCTGATCACGAAATAGAGTACATGAATTCGTCGATTTAATACTGCACGCGTTGAATATTGTTAGCACAACCGAATTCGGCACAAAGCTCAACTATTAAGTTTTGATTTAGCCCAACACAGCACAAAAAGTTACATTTAATATTTCAAGAATATTTCAAGAATATTTCCGTATTTTATATCTACAATATAGCCTTACTATGAAACATCAGCATACAACACAAAAAGCAAACTGGATATTCATGGTAAAGTGCAATTGATAATTCCCTTTAAGTTTCAAACATCGTGAAAGGCTCATTTCAAATATTACTTATATTTTTATCATCATAAATACCTTGAACAACAAGAATTTCAGCGGGAATTTATTACAAACAGAAATTGATTAAAAACGAAAAATATTACCACCATTATTTTATTGTGCCTCAGAACATTAGAATTCAAAAAAGCAGTTCATGTTTTTCTCACAACGAGCATTACATATGCTTTCAGAAATGTTTTTGTTTTGTAATCTTTGAAATATAGCCTTTTCTTCGCAAATGAAATATTTCTGGGGTTGTAATCTCTAAGATAATATATAAGGTTACACATATAAACTTTTTGAGTCTTTTTACATCATTTATATTTCGTTGATTGAGTGAGATACAAGTAGAAATTACAAAATAATTATAATCTTTTCACTAAATAACACTGTCTGTTTACTAACCTTTGGAATAATAAGTCGATATTACAAGAACCTATGTTGCAGTTTGACCGGAACACACAGTAAGAGTTACTCTCATAGCCATAAGAATTAGATATATAAGTTCTTTAGTTATGAGGGAAATGAACATCGCAAGCAATAGTTATTATTTAAACTAGGAAATTGGTAAATTCGTCGACCTGGAAAAAAAAGCACCAGTGAATATTCAGATTATCAACGTTTGAAACATTTATGGAATGTTTCCGAAATCTATTTAATGACAAGACGGTTTCTATCATTGCAACGATATTTTTTAGAAACATTATTGCACACACAATGTTTGGAAAAAAATTTAATATTGAACATCTCATTACAGTACTTTAGAATATATGGTAGATTTAACAGGTTATGTTACAATGTAACCGGAACTAGCAGAAAGAAGAATTACTTCCGTAGTAGTACAAGTACTGAAACCAGTTATAAGTAAGGTGGAAAATGAATATTGTCAAGCAAAACCAAAATTACAAAAAACTTTCAGTAGCTACGGTTATAAGGCCTCATATAAAATTGCCTTTTGCGGCAATTTTCATTAGAAAAAAAAGCTTCACTAAAGACAGACATGATCAACATTTGAAACGTTTTTGAAATGTTTCCATAATTTATTTGATGAGATTACAGTTTCCATCGTCACAAATATACAATTTTAGAAAAGTAATGCAAACATTTCACCGTGTTAGAAAGTAAAAATATTCTGTAAGGTTTTTGAACGTTTAAAAGATTTTAAAGAAATATTTCTGAAATACGAATTGTACTTTTTGTGTTGTGTGAAAACGTACAGATAATTTTTGCATGTTATATCTACATTATTCAAAATACTAACTTGTTTTAAATTAACCAGTGCATGGTTTGTTGAGGTATCTGTTAGGAAAAAAAAGCATTCAAACTTTTAAAATGTTAGAAAATAACACAGAAAATCAGAATCCTTTCACCACTTACATTTACACCTAGTAAATACCAAAAAAAGTAATTTGTGCGAAATTTAATTAACTGAAAATAGTGGGTTTAATAAACCATAATATCACATGCAAACGCTAAAAATTTATAATTTATACATTTAAAAATATTAATTTAGATTAAAGGTCTAAGATATAGTTAGGGAACAGATGGTGGAAAAAAGTGCATATTAATATATTATATATCGCAATATGTATAGTGAGGGGTATGCAAGTATAAAAATCCAAAAATCTGTTCCTGCACTATAAAGCAGTTTGCTTAATAACGTGATTTATTAAACTATAGTGGTTTTATGCACCCAAAATTCTGGATTTTTCTTCTTCATTTTTTTATATTAGTTCAATTAAAAATATCTCCATAACATAAGCTGTGCTAAATGTTACAAAATAAAACATAATATAAAATATTGTATCAACGAAGAGCTAATTAATAATCCCCTGATAAATATATCAGGTAATCTAGTATTAAATGTGCCAAATAATTATTAAAAAGCTCATTTAATATTATTTTTAAATATTGCACTATTTAAGATATTCGTGCAATTATGACATTTTAAATATTCTATAAGATGTTTACATTTAATGTTGTGAATCAAATCCAATTAAGTTTTGTGAATAACTTATGTACAACATGCACTTCTATTTTTAAAAAAATGTGAAAATTAAAAAAAAGAGGTAACATGATGCATTACTTGATCCAATGCATTAAATAAAGAAAAAGAGTCAAACCGTTCACAAATTTAAATATTTACTCGAATTATTTACGGAGATATCCAAATTATTAAAATTTTTCAAGTATAATCGAAATTTCCTTTACGAATATTACGAATTGAAATTTAAAACAAAAAGTTATGCAGACTTAAAGATTAATGTAAGATAATCTAAAATTTAAGTGGGAATACCACAGTGATATTTTCTAAAATTTGCTTTGCTTTTATAATTAAGATTATTAGTACATAATTATTCAATAAAAAGCAGAATGGAGAACTCTGTTCTTAAACTATGTGTTTAAAGATTGATACAAATTAAGGAGATAAGGGCTTTTTACATTGATGTGCGTATGGATGAAATAAATTTTCGCAAATTTTAAATGATGTTTTAATTTTTAACCGATTCAACTACATATTTAATGGCATATATATAGTTAATGCAATTTCTGATAAATGTAAAATTTTCATTACATTTATAATAAAGTTAATTTTAATAAAGTAAATTTTCGAAGGAAATGCCTTACAATCTAATTTTAACATTTAATTATTCAAACTATAACCTCAATTTTAGAAAAAAAAATCAAAAAATTAAAAGAAAAAAATGCATGATGTTAAGTTTTTAAATAAATTGGGGGGAAAATATAAGAAAAAAAGAATAAACTTAATGAATATGAAAGATTTTATTTCCGGAAACACTGAATAAAATTTGCAGTCGTATGCGCTTTGTGGTGATACAAAAACCAATGTATCTTCCACTTTTGAATGAGTTAAAACTAATACTTTGGGTTCAAAGTTCTCAAATGTGTGCAATGTTTATAAAAATATTAAAAAAATAAATTTTTCAAAAAATTTTGCAGAATTAAGAGGGAAAAAGCGAAATTATAGAAAACTTTTGTTAGAAAAATTATTTAAAAAAAAATACAATGAAAAGACGAAGAAAAATAAAATGGTGCAAAACGAAAAATCAATTATTGCCAAATAAAATATACATTTCGCTTGCATTATCATAGCTAGAGCAAAATGCACATTTTTAGAAAACTATAAATTAGAATTAAAATAATTAGTTTTTCTAGCAATGCCCTAAAATTTATTACAAATTTAGAACTGTTAAATTGTTGAAATTTTAAATAATCAAAATATACTTATTAAACATTGCTCAAGAATTTCTAAGAGTTATAGAACTTTTTAGAATGTTTTTGGCATATATAACTTGCAACTTTTGACTACGATTTGCAATTAGAGCATAATAGCCAACGTATTTCCAGAACTTTTCCTAAACATAGAGAAACTGTTTTATAATAGGTCATTTGGTAGTAATATTTTTGAAAAATTGAAAAGTTATATTATTATTACTTTAAATTCATAAATTTAATAAGTTTCACACGTCTTGTTTCAGTAAAAAATTACATCTTATTAAAATTAAAAACACATCGATACTTAAAATTTTATGATCAAATGTATGCTTCAGCTTATAAAAAGATTAAGTTTAAAATGAATTTTATTTCAAACAAAATTATGATTTACATACATCACATGACATACATACATTACATACACACATCACATTTTAAAACTAATGCTCTAAAAAGATAAATTTTGTCTTCGATAAATTTTAAAGGATTTAAAAAAATATTAAACTCTTAGAAATCTAGTTGTTTTAATCAGAAATCTAGTTGTTTAACATCTTAAAGCTAATGCTTTAAAAAAACAAATTTTGTTTTAGATAAGTTTTAAGGAATTTAAAAAAAATATGAAATTTTCAGAAATCTAGTTGTTTTAATAATTTCTTATTCATATTCCTTAGATAGAGATTAGATTAAACATTGTATTTTAAAATGCATATTTTTGACGCATTCTCAAAAGCATTCCAACTTTTTCGTCCACTTTTAGATAAAAATAATTTCGCAGCTTTTCAGAAAAAAATATATATACTTCTATCTATCACAGAATTGTTTTTAAGTTTTATACAAAATGCCAAATAAAATCTGTTTTTCTTTTTTTTTTTTTTTTTTTTTTTTTAATCTATGCTCAAAAATATAAACTATTTTAAAAACTGTGTTCGAGCAGAATGAATTTGCTGTTAAATAATTGATTTTTTATGATATATGATTTTTTATATAAAAAAAATAAGAAAGTTAATAAATATTTATCTCAAAAAAATTAATTACTTTACAATACAATATAAATCTAAATCCATGAAAATGAAAATCTAAATGAAAGAATGTTACAAATCTTCAATGAAATTTAAAGTACTCATGAATAACTTCAGAACAAAAATGTACCTATTGTTTATAAAATAATTAGTGGAATTTAAAGTCTGTATTCCTTGTTCTGCAAATAGCTTTCAATAACATTTGCTAAGCAATCCAAACAAACATAAATGAAAAATGAAATCAGTTTGTTTTCTTTGCTCAAAAATCTAAACTATTTTAGAAACTAGGTTCCAGCAGAAAGAATTTACTGTTAAATAATTGATTTTTTATGATATATGGGTTTTTTTTAAAAAAATAAGAAAGCTAACAAATATTTATCTTAAAAAAATTAATAACTTTACAATGCGGTATAAATCTAAATTAATGCAAATGGAAATCAAAGTTAAAGAATGTTAAAAATCTTAATAAAATTAAAGGTACTCAGGAATAATTTCAAAACAAAAAATTTACCTATTTTTTATAAAATAAATAGTGGAACTAAAAATGCATACTTTTTGTGCAAAAAGCTTTCAATAACATTTGCTAAGTTATCCAAACAAACATTAATAACTCTTAATCAATTTCAACTGAGTAACCAATTAATAATTTTTACAAAATACATTAACTAATGAAGAAGCAACATTCTCATTTTTTTATCAATCACTATTAAGTAATAAGATATTTATAGCTCAATTGCAGGGGCAATTGCATTACAATTTTGTATTCATACTAGTTACACGAAAAAATATATATTATAAAAGAACATATTTAGAAAGAGAAATTGGCACCAAGACAAAAATTAATGTTGTAAACAGATTTTAGGCAACAAAATAAGCAAAGAAATTTTAAAAAAACTCCCACATGATTTAATATGTAAATAAATAATTATTATACCTTAAGCAATTCTTATAAAATTTTTATTTGCTAGTTACGATAAATTTGTGTAAACGTAAAATATGAAGATTATTCTGCATTTATTAACTTTATTTGGAGAATGAAAAAGAAACAATCTGTGAAAGGAAAACATAGAATGTATTATGTACACGGGATTCAGAATTAACGAGTATGTTGTTAAATATTAACTACAAATTGTCAATAAATGAATTGAAAACAGAAAGGCATTGAAAGGAAAATATTTTCCGGACTAAAATTGCCATTAAATAATACTCAAAACACATAAGCAGATTTGTTGTTTCTATACCTATTTAATTGCCTACAGTGTAGTTCTTACCAATAAGAGTAAAAATATTTTATAAATCATAACTACGGTAGTAATACTATTATTTATTCATAATCTGTTTTCCTTCAGTCTAAATATTTGGTATGAGAAATTTGTTTGCATTCCCCTTAGTACCTTCCAAATAATTAAACTCCATTAGCTATCAACAAAAAACCTTTCTTATGTAATGAGTTTCTTATATCTTCTCAATTCTAATACTATAAGTTATAACCATTAATTAGATAATTATGACTATTATTAATAAAACTAATTTAATCTTACTTAATTTATGAGCAAGAAAGTGCCAATAAAAAGGCAAGAAAATTTCTAATAAAAAAATATCTTATTAATACACATCATATACCTGAATAAAAATCCTTCTGAGTCATTAAACACATAAGATGGCGCAACGCTGTCCTCTACCTAAAGCTGATGAGAAATATCCATAGGAATATGTAAAATAATTCTATATCTGATGACATTTTAGATTTTTATCCAGCACTTAATGTCGTGATAATGAATATACAAGCATGTACATACCTAAAATATCTGCAGTTTATATAAGAACTAGATTTCACAGTAGCAGAATATTTTAAAACAGAAACGTCCAGATATTGCTCAACAAAGAGTTAATATAGAGAGCATAATATTCATTACGGTACCTCATTCAAGAATAATTTTATTTTAATTTGTAGAACGAGAGAAATCTACTCTTGATCAGAAATTTATAAAACGTTTCTAATGCATTTGCTGTGTATACACTACAAAAAGATCAGTCAAGAAAAATTAAGAAATGTATTCCTGAAAACACTATTTATTATATCTACTAACTATTTGCCATTATTTATACTAACGTATGGTTATTAAGAACTACTTATACTATTTAATAATTAATTAGTTGTGTAACTTGATTATACATATATTTTACCTTATGAAAGAAATTGTAAAAAATTAATTACTCTAAAATTTTTAAATTTTTAAATAAGATGTGCGTCAAAAAAATTTAAACAATGCATTAAAATTAACCTGGATGAAATACTAAGTTAATCATTCCAGGGTAAAAGCATTTAGTTTTCAATTCAAGTTTTAAAGATATTTCATCTAAATGTAGCAGAACATGCATCACTGAAAAAGCTTTTGACCATGATTAAGTGTCGATCTAGAAAAAAATTCAAGCTTTTGTGTAGGAAATATATTTTAAACACAACTTTCTGCTACTAATACAACAAAAAGTTCAACATTTTAATATTGAACTGAATATAGCAATTCATAAACAAACCTTTCTGGAAGAAAATTAAGTGGTTACTAGACAATTAAAATTGAATTGACAAGAAATTAAATTTAAATTCGGTCACTATCTTTTGGCCTAAAAAAAAAGACATTAAACAGTCCAATGGTGGTAACCTATCTCCAAAATTTGAGATGAAAGCTAAATGTATTCAGTTGTTCTTTGCAATGTCGCACTTAGTATAGAAGCAAATGTGTTTATCATTAAACTGTTCATCTTTTGTGCTTACTCTGTACTTGAATTTTGAAAATGAAGTATAAAAAGTAAACAAATCATTAATATAAAATGCCAAAAGTTTCTGCTTACATAGGTTTTGCTTCTAATTCCCCAAACATAGAACTCACAATCCAATATCCAATATTTTTCTTGCTTCTTTGTAAAATTTAAAATGAACAGTATTAAAAATTATAAAAACCAATGAGATTCATTGAAATCTATCTAATTTTCTCAAAGTCCAACGAATTTTAAGTCATTCAATACCAATCTTTAAATTTCTTTACTTGATTAATAAGTCTTAACTATTTGTACATGTAAATCTATTCATCAAAGCTTTCAAAAGGTATCTTTAAAAATTCTAATATAACTATTGTTTTATAATATATAATAATTTATGTAAGATATATGAGAGTCACATTGTTGCAAAACTTGCTAAGTACTAACAATTATTTTTAATATAAATGAAAACAATTCCTTTTACAAACTTAACAGGCATACAACAACTTATGTTCAGTTTTAATCTATGTTTTATACAGGGGATAAAAATCTGGATGTTGCAAATTTAGTTTTGCAACTGGATGACTCAGATGTATATACATAATAAAAATCTATATATTATAAATTTTCTGTCAAGTACAGAAAACTAAAAGACATAATTAAATATACAACCTATGTTCATACATAGTAAATGCATAACAATATTTAAAACTGGTAAAGAGTATTCTCTTCTTTGTTTTTATTTCAAGAAACTAGTATAAAGATTAGCTAGTCTATAGATCTCCTTTTCTGATTTTGAAATGTGTAGTGAATAAGTGGTATTAAACAGATTGAAACAATGAAATGTAATTTAACTGTGAGGAGTTGAAAATTAGAAGTCATTTAATTGAATTGTGATGAAACTAAGAATATATATATTTGTGATAGATTATGGATATACATGTCCTACT